GAACAGGTATTATTTTGTATCGGAACAGCTGGAACCTGTTATTTGAAAATACCTGTTATTGCCCATCACTACTTAACATGAATTATTTTAAATATGATATAATAAAGTTTACTTCAAAAAACCGCCGCCAGATAGCGACACAAATTCATCTAGTAAAATTTTTTAAAATCAAAACAAAACAAGATTTGGACATGTTTAGCAATGGATTAAAATTCATAGATTAAATATAGAACTTATTTCTTAATATAAAAAATAAAAAAAGATGTTATTTTTTTGAAGTTACTAAGTTAAAAATTTTTGCAAAATTAGAAAATAAATAGAAAATTATTAGTAAGGTAATAAATAATTAAAAGATAAAATTTGAAGGGACTTACAAATTAAAATTTTCTAAAGCTCCAAAATAGTTTGCAATTTTTGAACACTCTTGAAATGTCACCAGAATGTCTTGAAATGTAATATTAAATAAAGGCTATAAAATTTACAATACTCAATAGCAAAGAGAAAGTAAAAATTGTACTGAATTTACAATTCTCAATTTCTAAGAAGAACTGCATTAACACAATTATTATAAGTAACTAATTAATATCTTAGAATTGTTTTTGTTTTCGATTAAACTTAATTACCAAATTTCACGTTGCAATAAACGTTTTTAAAACTTGAACTTTGAAAATTACTTAAAACTACAAAATTTGAAATTCAATCGAACAAATGATGCAAGTCAGAAAATGTTTTTTTCCATTCATCATGGGCGTCGTTGGATGAAATAGGACATAAGTCCCCATCAATAATTAGAAATCTCTAAAAACCCACCTCATTATTTCCGAGCAATAATAAAATATTTATGAATCCACATTGATTTAAATTCCTCAAAGTAAAAAACAAGAAAGAGATAAAAATAATCGATATTTTTTCGAATATTTAGCAGACATAAGAATTTGTTTTCAGGTTTGAAACTTAAAGAGCTACTGTCACTGTGTATTTTAATTTCGCTCCCCTCAAAAATTGGACCTCTGTCCAATCGGTGGTGATATTCAGACAGCTCCTATAGTTGGCATTTTTATATTTATCCTAATGCAGGACCATGAGCATTTTTAGTTTGATTGCTAGAATAATTATAGCGCCTGTCTTCCAACATACTTCAAAATTTGGGAATTTTATATTAGTCTCATATAAATTTTATATTAGTTTAATTATTGCAATATTTAGTCTCCTACAAATTAAGCTTTACAAATATAGTTTCCATAATCTTGAAACATTGTCTTATTTTTACAAAATTCAGATAAATATATAAGAATTATGTACATTTTTGTATTAGTTTTAAAATATAAAATTTTTTTAGTTTTGACTTACTTAAAATTACAAAAATATAAAATCGCCTCTTAAATTCCATTGTTGTTGTTGTTAATTTACGTCGCACTAGAGCTGCACAATGGGCTATTGGCGACGGTCTGGGAAACATCCCTGATGATGAGCTTCTCACGAATCCTNTCCTCTGCAGAGGGGATGGCACTCTCGCTTCGGTAGCCCGACGACCTGCACGCGAAGTCGAGCACTTTACGGTAGCACAGTTTAACGAGGACCAATACCGCACAACCTAGGTCCCTTCGCAGACTGATCCAAGTGGTCACCCATCCGCACACTGACCGCAACCAGTGATGCTTGACTTCGGTGATATGCTGGGAACCGTGTCTTAATGATCAGTCCACTGCGGGACTCTTAAATTCCATACATTTATCTATTATATCTAATCTAAAATGCATAAAGAAAACGCGAAATAATGAACAAATTATGAATTTTTAAAAGTCATTAGTTTTGAGATAAGCAAAATTTCTTACATTTTGAAACTCAATAGTTAGAACATTTATATTAGATCTTGTATTAGAATTTTATTTTGTATTTATTATAAATTTTATGAGTACATTTAAGCAAGTTATGTTTTAATGAAGATTTTCAAACTGTAACTCGCCATTCTCATTAATTTTGTGTAGAGTTTTAACACTGCATAGAAGTTTCATCCATTTTACTCTAATGTATATTTGTTGTCAAAATTATAAATAACTTTATGACTTATTTATTTTTCTTTAGCAGCATCTAATTTTAATGTGATTATTTCATCATTTAACAAAAATTTTCAATTATAGAAATTTTCAATTTTTCGTCCATAAAATTAAAAAAATTTATCGTCCCAAATTATCACTACCATCATTGACCGAAAGATTTTTTATAAACAATCATTTACTGCAACATATGAATGACAATTCTTTTCATCTGTACTGGTGACAATACTGATGATTGACTGAGAAACGACAAAATTTTGTCATGCAGACAGTGTTTAATAATAAACTTTAATTAAATTAGTTTTAATTAAAATTTAAATAGAGGAGTATGTGTAAAAAAATTTTGAACCACAATAGATAAAATGCAAATTGACAAGAACTGCAAAATAAGGTGTTTAAAATATTTTTAGCTAACAAATGGCGAAAAATTAACCGAAATTTTTTTCCTCTCCAAGAGATGTAAACTTTGATATCAACTTTGTAAAAGTCTATGTAGAAAGGATTCACTTGATGTTTCATAACAATTTTCGTAAAGCGCAGAGTCAAATGTGTCATACGTCGTTATTTGATGCTAAAACCTATTCACATATAAAAAGTTAAAGTATATTTTAAAAAAATCGATAAGACAAGCAAAAAATTTGTGCAAAGCAAAACTAAATTATCAGTAAAAGAAACAAAAAAATGGAAAAATAAATAAAAAAGGAAAAATAAATAATATTTAAAATGTAGTAATCCATATATACAGAAAAAAATAAGTTTTGCTTATGGATAGATTAAAATTGCTACATCTATTTAGAAAATTAAAACAGAGTAACTCCTAAAAGATTATAAGTCCCTCAAACATAAAAAGAGGCTATACTGCAAATATATCACAGTGCTGCAAATTAAAACACATAAAAAATAAAACTATCAATTTTATCATAGTTAAAAAAAATTAAATAAAATATTATCTATCAGACCTGAAAATTTAAATTTTCAGTTAGCCATCGTCATCTTAGTAGCTACTTTTGCCTAAAACCTAATAAGTCTGTGATTGATATAGATATGTCCTTTTTTATTTAATAGCCACTTTTGGCAAACTTTTTATTTATTTACTTTGATTAAAATATATATATTTTTTTCAAAAAAATTATATTAGAAACAAAAAGTTAATTTAGCAATGAAAATAACATAAACATGTAACAAAATTTAGTTAAATATGTTGACTTTAAAGAACTTTATATGGGTCATTCTCACAAAAAGGTGATTTTTTAAGTCCCTTAGTAATAAATATTAGGAAATACAGCAGATTTCTTAATATTTTTTAATTCCCAGTTAATCAAATCATTCCCAGTTAATCAAATCATATTTAATCAAATTTTAAGAAAGAAATGGCAAAACCAAAATGTAAAAAAAGAAAGCATTCAAATGCAAAAGAGAAGGGAACAAGAAAAAACTTAGTATGAGACAAGCTAGAGAGAAATTAAAAGAAAACCCTATATTGTTTGAAGAAAGCAAAAAAAAAAAAAAAAAAAAAAAAAAAAAAAAAAAAAAAAAAAAAAAAAAAAAAAAAAAAAAAAAAAAAAAAA